TGACAGATGTATGGATAAGAAGATGTGGCACATATATACAATGGTATATTACTCAGTCATAAAAAGAAACGAAATTGAGTTATTTGTCGTGAGGTGGATGGACATAGAGTCTGTCATTCAGAGTGAAATAAGTCACAAAGAGAAAAACAAATACCATATGCTAACATATATATATGGAATCTAAAAAAAAAAAAAGGTTCTAATGAACCTAGGGACAGGACAGGAATAAAGACGCAGACATAGAGAATGGACTTAGGACACAGGGAGGGATAAGGGGAAGCTGGGACGAAGTGAGAGAGTAGCATTGACATATATACACTATGAAATGTAAAACAGATAGCTAACGGGAAGCAGCTGCATAGCACACGGAGATCAGTTTGGTGCTCTGTGACCAACTAGAGGGATGGAATAGTACAGCAACTATAGCAAACTGTATGGAGGTTCCTCAGAAAATTAAAAATAGAGTTGCCATATGATCCAGCAATCGCACTCCTGGGCATATGTCCCGAGAAAACTATAATTCAAAAAGATACATGCATCCCTATGTTCATAGCAGTACTATTCACAATAGCCAAGACATGGAAACAACCTAAATGTCTATCAACAGATGAATGGTTAAAGAAGATGTGGTACGTATATATCAATACAATGGAATATTATTCAGCCATAAAAAAGAATGAAATAATGCCATTTGCAGCAACATGGATGGACCTAGAGATTATCATACTAAGCAAAGTAAGTCAGAAAAAGAAAGATGAAAACCATATGATATCACTTACATGTGGAATCTAAAATATGACACAAATCAACTTATCTACGAAACAGAAACAGACTCGCAGACATAGAGAACAGACTCACGGTTGTCAAGGGTAAGGGTGGGGGAGAGGGTGGAACGGGAGTTTGGGGTTAGCAGATGCACACTAGTATATGTAGAATGGATAAACAACAAGGTCTTACTTTGTAGCACAGGGAACTATATTCTATATCCTGAGATTAAACCATAAAGGAAAAGAATATGAAAAAAGTATATATATATATATATATATATATATATATATATATATATATGTATGTATGTATAACTGAATAACTTTGCTGTACAGAAGAAATTAATGCAACATTGTAAATCAACTATACTTCAATTTAAGAAAACATTTTAAAGGCGAAAAAAAAATGTGGCTTGAAATCAGTAACCTGTGCATAAAGAAAAGAAACACTGGTAATAATTCCCAATTAGTTTTGAAATTTAAGTACATTTTTTCTTGGGTCCTGGTAACTGTCATAACGTTTAAGGACAGAAATTCTTAATTCAAATAGCTAAATAGTTTTAGTTAATCACAGATAAGATAAAACGATCTTTACATTGTTAATTTGCTAAAAATTGGTCCTTGTTTCCACATTTTTAGGCTTACAACTTGTAAATAATACATCTCAAATAATATTTTCCCAAGTCAAGATCTAAAACACTGTATCCATTCTAGAAAAATAAGCCCCTTTAGAAATGTCATTACCGTTCAGATTATTGATCTCATCCTGCTGCCAGGGCTGAAGTGTTTAGCAAGACTATTTTCGGGACCTGGAGAGGACATTTTTATTGGCAGTAAGACAACAGATTAACCAGAGTTCAAATGAGAAGACCCAGTGGCCAGGTCTTTGTCACTCTAACATTCTACAGATGTGCAACACAGATGGTGAGGTATGTTGATAGATGAGGTTGTCTTGGCAGCAGAGTTCTTAGACCTGCCTAACATTTTAGTTGAATGACCCCATTAAACATGCCTGTCCCAAGGCAGCTGGATAGATTTTTAAGTAACTATAGCTGTTAAATGTGGAAACCTCTAGGAAGTTCTGAATACAGAATCTTTCTCTTAGCTTTGACTTCTAGTTTACAGGAACTATCCACCCAAGTTTGAGTTGGGGGTAGGGGAAGGAAGGAGCAGAAAGAGAGACTGGGGGAGTATATGCAAACAAAATTATCTTAAAATTCTAGGAGGAGTATAGGGTGAGTTGAATAAGAGTTTTTAAGAGGGAACATTAATATAAAAATGCTAACTTCAATTGGAATTATCTAGGATAGCTTTTTTTTTTCTCCACCGAGGATCTATGAAGAACCAGGGATTTGCTGTCAGATTATAACTTCTCCCTTGTTTCTACTCTATAGGACACAGGTTAGTAGAGAAAAGCACAAGATTTTGAGTCATGGTAATTGGGCTTTTGTGTGACCTTGACCATGTCATTCAAATGTTTGTGGTATCAGTTTCCTCATTTGTAAAATGAGAGTGAATAGACGTTCTAAATTCTCTTACAACTATTAAGTTCTGCTTTTCTGCTCAGTGCCCTAGACCTCCACTTTTACGAACAGGAATATTTTAAACTTACTAAGAAGCAGCAGAACATAGTGCTAACTGCTCAGTCTCTAGACTTACATAGACATTTAAAAGTTTGCCTTCAGGGCATACGTCTATATATCATATTATTATTTCTCAGCATTTATTGAGTCTTAAGAGTCCTTGTCTATAAAATGGAGATGATAATAGTACTCATCATGCAAGTTGCTCTTAGATTTTTTTCACAGCACTTATTTCCTTCTATCTAACTTACCATCTGTAAGGTCCATAAGGGTAGTGATTACTGTCTATTTTGTTCACTGATGTATTCCAAGCATCTTAACAGATACTAGCCACTCAATATTTGTCAAATGAATAATTAAATGAAACAATGCATGTAGAGTGGTTAGTGAAGTAATTGGCACACAGCAGTTGATAAATGATCCTATAAATGGTCCTGATAAATGGTTTTATTAATACCCACAGTGCCTTTTCACTATGAAGTAGGAATGGAAGAAGTGGGAATTTCATGAGAAGATGAAGGGGACTAAGGACCATAATGTTGTTTCCAAATATTGTAAAGAGTATCACATGTCACCTGCAAAGAAAATAATATGATCCAAGATGTGGAAACTACAGAGAGACATTTTTGAAATTCAGAGAAAGGAGGATTTTTCTAACAACATTGCTCAAAGATGAACTGGTGCTCAAGCAAATGTTGAATTATTATTGGCCAATAAATGAGAGAATTAGGAAATATAATTAAAGGTTATAAATCTATTATTTCATGGATGAAATGATTTGAAAAGAACTTCTTATAAACAGCATATACAGAATAAAATTTTAAATATACAAAATATTGAATTTTGGCCTTGTGATACTGCTGGCCAAAAATGTAGATGGAAGATGGCAAATACAGTAAATACCAACCTATTTTTCTTGGGTACACGCGATCAAAAAACATTTGTTTGTGACATAACATATGGCTGAAAAACAAGTGCTGCTGACTTGTTTTATTAATGTCGGCAAAGCAGCAGATAGGAGTTACAAAATCCCTTATCCCCCATCCTTCCCCCACCCAAGGAAAAACAGGACTGTTTAAAGCCAGCGTCTTTCTTTCTTGTTCTTTTTATCCCACTGGTAACACTGCACTTTGGACTTTCAGAATATTGACAGTGAGAATGTTCTTGGATTACATGAAATGAACTGATGCATCACTCTTGCCAACTAGGGATGATTTTAGACAAAATGTATGGCATCGATGAGAAAGGAATCTCAATATCATTTTTACGAAGGATGGTTGGCCTCATATAAAACAGTCCCATCAATCTACTGCCATCAGCTCAGACAGAAAAGAATTAGGTACATAAACTGGCTGTCATAAAATGTAGCCGAGTAGGAGCCAAGTCTGATCACAGAAGGTCAGTTACACATGTTCGCAAATAAAGGAAGCATGTTTTCTTTAATGAGCCATCAAAAGTTAATAACAAGTGAGTTGGCTTTTTATTTTGGACAATAATACTGAGAAAGATGCAATGGTTCTGAAGGTTTTCTCTGTTCTTTAAGTTGGCTACCTATTGAGAAAAGATATGTGATAACATGGTAACTTTTTAAAGGTGTGAAATGGTGAACTGCATTCACCTGTTAAAACTATGGTGTTGACTTGACTGTGATGATCAATTTTATGTGACATCTTGATTGGGCCACAGGGTGACAAAACGTTTGGCCAAACATTATTCTGTCTATGAGGGTGCTTCTGGATGAGATTAACATTAGTATGGGTAGACTGAGTCATAATGTATTCTCCCTAAATTGGGTGGGCTCATCCAATCAATTGAAGACCTGAAAAAGGCTGAGTAAAACTCCTTCATGACTTGCTTGTGTTGAGATATTAGTCTTTTCCGGCCTTCAGACTTGAACTGAAACATTGGCTTTTCTTGGGTCTCAAGCCTGCCAGCTTTCAGACCAGAGCTGTAACACTGACTCTCCTGGGTATCCTTCTCCATAGACATACATTACTGTTTCTATTTCTTTGCAGAACCCTAACTAATACACTGACTCAACAGGATCAGGAAGAAATGAGCTGAGCTGTGCCAATCAAGTGCATTATCCAGATAATGAAAGTCAGTCCCTGCAGAAGTTAATCTTTTAGAAACTGGTCTGGTAACAATGTGAGTGATCAGGCAATGTGATAACATTTATGCAATATAAAATAATGAGCCAAATTACGAATGCTCCTACAATTAGCTCTAGAAGCAGTTCCTCACCGTTCCAGCCCCAAATTCTAAGATTCTATCTTATACAACAAGCTTACATAGCCATTCTCAGAATCAATTTCAGAAGCAACAGTATAAAGTTTGAAATGTGTTTACCTCCAAGGGGATTATGCAAGAATTTAAAAATCCTTCTCATTTCCTTCCAATTAGTTTTTGAGGACTGAAGGACTCATCATTTTCATATGTTGATTCTTGTTATTATCAGGAATCAGCACATGGCATATCTTCTTATTTTCCATGATTATTTTCAGGCTCTGGTGTTTTATGATTTTTAAGCTCTACTTCCACTACACAGATTAAGCTTCCAAAGCATCTGTCTTTAGGCCCCAAAAGATACCCTTTGATTTTCCCAAATTCCTTACTTTACTTCCGTGTGAGTTTTCTCCTTGTCACTTACCTGCCCAGAAGCAGAAATTCTCCTGCCAGCCCCAGGCGCCTCATGGCCATCAGCAGCCCTCTCACCGTCATGCCCTCGCAGAAGCAGGCCACCACCCGGGCCTTGGGCAGGTGACTCCTGAGCTTCTTCAGCAGTTTATCGAAGCTCTGCTCCCCCGCGTTGCTATAGATTTTGTAAGAGTGAGCGATGCAGATCCCTTCCTTGGCTGACATATCTTTGAACGCTTCCATCCCACTTTCTCCATAGTTGCCTGTGTGGAAACAGATAAGCAGAGGGGAGAATGTTGGCTTCATTGGGTAGAGTTGGAATGCAGAAGTGCTGGGAGCATGAAGGTCACCTGGTAGTGTTGGATCTGGAACCTGAAGACCTGAGTGAGGTTTTGCTTTTTCACTGACTTGCTTATCTGGGCAATTTACAATGAAACTACAGGATACATATATGCATTGATCTTTTAAAACTTTTTCACTAAGAGAATATTACAAAAATCCAAGCAATTTGGCTCCCCCTTTGACTCAAAAAAGGCTCATATTCTAATGTGAGATGATGGAAAATATTTATCTGCTATCTTTTCATTCTGTCTCACTTCCTTTTGTTTCTCATTATATGATCTTCTTACCCCACTGATTCAGATTTTTGTGTTTAAAGACATTATACACAGATGCAATACATATACTTTATACAGTACAGATGTACAAATATCTTAGAGTATTTTATTTTATAGAATATTATCCATATATTTTATAAATAATCATGAGAGTTTGTGGTTTTATCCCAAGTGAAAATTCCAGATCCTTGATTGAGATTTTAGTCTTGTCACAGATAAATGTATTAGCTCATTTAAAACATTTAAAGTTTTATTATATATAACCATTGAAAAATTACCGATATATGGGGGAATAATTCCAAAGTATTTTGCAACGTTTTGGGGTTAAGGACTAATGGTGGTCTTTTAAAATTATGGAACATGGGGCTCAATACTGACAATCACTTATAGGCCAGGAAGTGTATCAAGATTATTATATATGTGACCTCATTTAACTCTCAGAAGAATATATTGAGAAATATATTATGACCTCCTTCTACAGATAAGAAAACAGATGAGGCAGTTAGGTTTACAGTTGCCCAGAGTTAATATCGCCAGTAGGTGGAAAGTTCCATTCCATTCACAGATCTGTCTAAGAGTGCAGATTCTGCTCCCTCCATTCTTCTACGGCTGACTTTTACGGGACTCAGAAGCCCAATTATATCTGCGTTTCTCTTTCCTATTTAAAGGTCATGATGCTTCAAGTTTAGATATTTTGGGAGCCTTCTGAGGCCCTATAAATCATGACAGGTTCATTTTCTGAGTTTTCAAAAGATTAGGTGGGTAAGGGCGATTGATTTGAGAAATACAGGAGACTATTACAAGACAGCCAAGCTGTGGGATGTAAGTGGCCTAGCAATCAACTAGACCTAGGAAATGGCATTTCATCAGGAGGAGTTAATCTCAAATGAACAAGCAAGTACAAGTCACTCGACTGCATACATTTCACTGTATGATGGTAATAGAGACAATTTATAAATAACTATACTCATGTAACATTTTGATGTTTGCAAAGTTAGTTCATATATACGAGCTCATGCTACTTACACCAACTCTGTGATAAAGGTACTATTATCTTCCCTTCGCAGCTGATAAAACTGAAGTTTGCATTTAGCAAGTAGATGGCAGAGTCTTGGTTTGAAAATCTATCCTCTCCCTCCTGGCCCTGTGTGTGCTCCATCTTAGCAGGGGTGCCTTGTTGCAAATGAGAGCCTCAGACTTGGAGGGTGGGTTTTCATGTAGGTTTATCCTCATGAACAAACTGTAAAGGGCAAAGCAGAGCAGAGTCCCAGCCAGAAACACTGGTAGAGGGCCAGCTGCAGCTTTCCCTCTTCTCCAGAATTAAAGCAACAAGAAACCTCTATGATGATGGCAGGTAGGCGATGTAGTTATTTTGCAATTAACAAAGGTTAAAGGGCTCTTCCTGAAAAATGTGCAAAGGGGCCTAAATTATTAGTCTTACACTAACCTGAGTATCTATTATTTTCTGATTACTTTTAGCCAACTCTATTTTTCAGTTGACTACCCTGCACTTGATGCTTTAATTAACGCTGGGGCATTTGGATAAATAATTTGATATGAGGTGCATAGTGATTGTGATGGCAATAATGAAAATTCTCAGTATATTCATAGTTAAACAACAAAAAATACCTGACAGATTTATAATCTTTAGCACCTCCCCAACAGCCTTGTTTTAACATTTTTTTTGTTGTTTATACAGTTAGTTATATATAGAAGCACCTTGCAATAGAGAACTTTGTCATTAGAGAGATCTGAGTTCCAATGTAGCTTGGGTTGTTCTAAATCTCAGCTTTATCACCTGAAAATCACAGATAACACTGCCTAATATATGGGTATTTTGTATATTATATTTTATGTATGTAAAATATCTTATAGATAGCCTGAACCTAATTAACTGCACATATTGGGGTTATAAAGAATATTCTAGACAAAGTTAAGATGCCCTCTCTTGGAGCAACTAAAACAAATCATGGAGCAAATGGCATTAATACTGAACATTAGACTAAAAAATAAGCTTAAACTAGTGGGGGAAATATGATTTTGTTAGAGCAAAGCCCAAGAATTATTCTTTAAAATTAAAATAGGAAACAGTTGCAATATATGTGTAACATAAAAATTTCTGCAGAATACTAATTTTGAGTTAATAAAAGAAACCCAATCTAAGTTGGGAATTAAAAATGGGGATAGGTATTCCAATAAAACTGGGAAGCTTGAAGTGTTTAGATTTTCAGTAGTTGATATAATGACTACATTTTAGAATTGTATATTTAAACATAAAGGAGAAACTATAAAAATTTCATAGGCTTCTTGAAGAAAATGAAATAGATTTCAAGCACTGTATAGAATGAGAAAAAAGGTGAGGACGCAAAGATTTATTTTTCCAACAAGGAAACAAAGGTGATAGAAAAAGGAAGATATGGTGTAAAGTATGAAACTAGTCGGTGACTTCAACTAAGCATCTGGCAAAAGTAAGAAGGAATCTATTAGACATTCTTCTTTAAGTAGCAGAGGGTCTGTGGCTTGGAATTATGAGAAGAAAATGTAATCGTAGTCCGACTTGACTCTTAGCTCACACTATTTATAATTGTAATGATGCAAATGTCAATTATTAATTTTCAACTGTATAAGTCCACATATAGGCAAGGTAGAAAACTTATTATGCAATAGAAAATATGTGTTACCAATCTTTCCAAAGAAAATTACAACAGAGGAAGATTTTAGGTTGAGATGTGGAAGCAGGGAGAGTTGATGGGAAAGGGAAGGATATTAAAATACTCGACTCACTATTTGGAAGTCAAGATATACAGAAAACAAAAGAGAGATGATTAACAGAATTATTTGAATCTGAAAAAAATGAGATTAATCTAATAATACAATTATATTGAGAAGAAATAAGAATATATGTGAATTAGGAGATGTCTACTTTCCATAAGTTAAAAAGTAGGCATTAAAAAAGTAAGCATATATTCATACTACTTAGAAATATGAAGGTGAAAACCAGAAAAGAAAAACGTAAAGTGCTCTTTCTTACTTTAAGCCATTCTGCATGACATGATTTTGAAAAATATTAAAGTACAAGTATGATGAAAAAATTTTAAATAACAGATTTAAAAGTTATTGAAATTGGAGAGAGATATGGAACATTTAAAATGGAATGCCAAGTGAACATTACTGAATAAAGAAATTCAGCATGTTGATAGTGAGGACAAAATTTTCCTGTAATTTCCTTAAATCAAATGTAAGAGTAAATATTAATTTATAACTTTTAGATATCCTTGTATATTTCTGGTGGGATATACTCACATGCAATTATTAAAATACAATCTCTATAACGAAAATACCTTGAGAACTTGGGGATAGCTAATTTTGTAAATAGCATTATTATAGAGCAAAATTGATCAGAATCAAATTTTATCTCAAACAATTGCTTAGATATCACTTTGTTTTGGTTCTATGTTTCTATCACATCAGTTAGATTTGGCTACATTGTACGCATTTTATTTTCCATTTCAACCACAGAATGAGAGCCTAATGGATAAGAATGTGAAATAGGATCAAGGTTATTTTTTCTCTTACATCATGAAAGATTCCAAACCTGAAGCCATGGCAGAATGCTTAATTCACATTTACTCTAAGAGCAGATGCTCTACTTAAAATCATGTTAGTCATTTCTAGTATGCCAGAAAGACTTTACAATTGAGATGGTTTTCAACAAGATGTCACATCTAAATTAAAATAGAAAAGTCCAGTTAATTTTCCTTCCTCCTGTCAAATCACCTTCTACTTACTGTTCCTTTAATATCAAGCTCAAGGAATTCCTCTGCAAAGTCTGCCCAACCTATGTATCCCTTCCTACGTTCCTCATTTGATCTTACAATAGAAAGTTGTGTTTACTTGTGTCTGCTCCTTTAAGACTGTATACCTTTGGGACATAAATATTATTCTCTTGTGTATTCTTAATTCCTCAAAGGGGCCTAGAAGATAACTAACACAAGTTGAGTAAAAAAATAAGTGAATGAATGAGTGGTACAAAGTAATCAGCACCAAGTGGGAATTTGCCAGATGAAAATATTTGTGCAATTAATTATCCTACCTCTCATCAGAATTGTAACATTTGTGTCTAGAATGTATCACTCTATTGAGTGATTATGTAATATTATTCCACTTAAAATCTGAAGGACAGAACTGTACAATAGTCAAAACAGTCAGAATATCTAGATTTTTTTCCAATGGCTTCAGTGTTCCCCTGGATAATAAAAGATTCTAATATTTTAACCTCAAATGCTATTTAAAGCTAGCTGCTTTCACTAGTACTATTTGACCTGTATTATGTCAGCTGGGATCTGGAAGCATCTGACTCCATTTGTGCCTACAAAGTACACAATGCAAACAAGACTTGCTAAAGAATAACTTTAAATCTTTCTTCTAACCTAAGAGAGATTCTTTGCACTTTATGTTTAAAGGCACAGGCATGGAACAATCCTTTAGTATGCAATGCATAACCATAGACCACTGCTATTTCAGGTGGCACCACTTCACTTTCAGTAAATACCGTGCTACTGTGGCTTAAACATACTTCTGGATAAAGATAATAAAGAATGGCGACATAGATAGGCTACAACTGGTAAATGAGGTATTCTTCTTGC